AGCTGTCAATTCTGATTTATGGTGATAACTGACACAGTTCCCCAGGTATACTCCAAAGTAGTTTACCATTTCCTTTTTCTGGCAACACTCTAGTACTTACAGCTTGTCCAAGCCCACACAGGTTGGGTTTTCTTCCTAGAAGCACAGTAAGGTTTTGAACTCCTGACTCAAACCCCCGCCCCCCATATAATGGAACACCTTAATGGCAGATCCAGGTATCTTAGTTTAAGTTTCAAACTTTCCTTGCTCTTAAATGTATTGTTTTTCCTTTAAGATGCTTGTCCTTAATCTTCAAACAAGATGGCAGTATGATATGTGCTGCTATTTTGGCAAGCTCAGAATAAATTAGCTTGTGTTGATGGTATACATTTTTGGTAGAAGATGTAAGAAGCAGAACTTCAAAAGTCATTATACTTGGAATATATATTCTCTGATATTTTATGTAATTCTTCCTCCCACAGAAAGTAGTTTTTGCCCTTGACTTTATATGTTTTCTCTTCAAAGAATGATTAAATATAATTTGTGAAGAGAAATGTTGGTGGCTGGTTCTTTAGATTAGTACTTAGCCTGAAATGTCAAGGTTGGAAAGTAAACTTTAGCTTTGGGTGGAGGCTTACATACTGTAAATCAACCTTGTGTCATGTTAATAATCATTTATGGTGACATAAATTATAAACCAGACAACTCCAAGCAAATAAAGCCTAAGGCAATAGAAAAGCTAGTGATTCAATCCATGTCCCTTCCTTCCTTGTGGATAGACCTAGCTGTGCTGTAGGACATTTCCACGACACTCACGGTTGCAGCATGATCTGTAGGACATTGTACGGGCTGACTGTGCTTTGCACACCAGCACTGGAGGTATATGTTAGACTGCTTACTCTTACATTTCCATGCTTATTTTCCTTTTCAGTTGGTTTGTCTTTCAACTACATTGTATTCTACACAAGTTTGGATAGTTTGTTCATGTGTTCCAGTTGTCCCATGACTATGGAGTAGGTATTATCAATAATAGTTGTACTTGTTTTTGGTTCTGTTTGAGGGGTCACCACTGGTGCCCTTGGACTCGTGCCCCATGCACTTTCTCAGATCCCCCTAGACCTCAGCATGCATGTTGAAATCATCCAGCACAAGAAGCCAAGGAGACTCTTAACACCACCTACAAGACCAGCTTGGCTCAGGAAGGGAGACTGTGGAGCAGCAGGGTGGGTGGTGTACCAGTAGAATCCCTATTCTGTCCTGGGCTCTCACTTTCAGAAACATACATTGAATTCTGGAAAACTGGGGGATGTGATATCTTGTGAGGGGAATGGAATCATGATAGACCACTGCAAGTCCACTTCCCTCCCCCAAGTCTTGTTTGCTGCTGCACAGAGAACTCAGAGTTCAATGCTAAATGCCAACAAAAATATCAGTTTCCTAGGGATTACTGAAAAAAAATGTGTGACCTTCTGTTTTCCTCGATTGGTATAAATTCATTGATTTGAGGGGACTAGTTTGACTGAATTTTTAGGTTACCTACATGCATAGGGTTTTTAGGTTATGTGCTGTCATATTGCTTCCAGTTTATGGCATGTAAATGAATTAATACCCTCCAAAGACCCTAGACTTAATAGCCCTGCTTAGGTCTTCCAAAGTGAAGGCTATAACTTCCTTTATTGAATCTATTCAATCCTCTTCTCTTATTGCCTTCAGCTTATTCCACCATCATTGTCTTTTCCAGAGAGTCTTGTCTTATGGCATGCTCAAAGTATGAAGATCTCAAGCCTCTTATTTCTAAGTGAGAGTTCAGAGCCTGGTTTGATCCAGCATCCCTTTCTTTGTCTTTTCATAAAATTTTCCTCCAAAATCACACCTTGAATGAATCAATTTTCTCCCAACAGCTTTCTTTACTTAGTTTTCTCTAGTATGTACTGGTTAGTACATACCAGTCAGCAATCACATCATACAGACAGTCTTGGCCTTGATGTTTAATGACACACCTTACACCTAAGGATTTGTTCTAATTCTTTAATAGCTACCCTTCCAAGTCTCAATCTTCTGGTTTTTTTGTTGCAATTTCCATTTGGATTGATGATTGAATCAATGGATATAAAATCTTAACTATTTCAGTTTCTTTTTTGTCAGTATTAAAGTTATCTTGTAGGCATTAGGTTAATATTCAGTGGTAAGCCTCCTTCTTAGAGGTCTGTGACTTCAACAGATGGGTTGTGCACCTGCACCAAACAATTGCTGGAATGTTCCAGAGCTGAGAAACCTTTTGTTAGGACCATGATCCCACTCTGTCTCCAAATGGCTAGGCTCAGCGTAACATCTCTCCTTCAGTTCTGCCTTTTTTGCTGCATCAACTGAGCGTAGACTGACTATTTATACTTCTTTGCAAAGTCATGAAATCAGACAGTGCTTATGCTGACAGCCTTGGAGTTTCTGCAAATAATGTCACCAGGGCAAGCATGTCTGTAAAAATTTTTTGTTCCTGCTCTTGACTCCTGCTGGCAGCAAACTTTTACTTTTCTTTATGCTAGTCTCTATTGCACATGTGTACAGTATAATTGAGAGGATCTAAGGTCCTTGCTAGTAGAAGCGAAGCACATCTATTCTCTATGACCTGGTTTTAGACACAATTAAGAAATAGGCTGATTTAGTAACTACAGTACATTATTTTGCTGGAGTGATAAACTGATTGTATTTATAACTTGTGCTGATTTTGTATGATAAAACTATTTTAAATCCAATAACATTTTCCTCTGGGAGCTTAATTAGTGCCAAGATGTATTAGCAAATCAAAGATGTTTATCCTGTTTGTGCTATATTCGTTTTAAATCAGATTGCCCTATATGTCCGCCATATGATGCAAAGTTAAAAAATAAGTTATGATTATCTCTTTATAAGAACACATAGGTGTCAAGTACCTCTTTGTAAGTGCAAATTAGAAAACTATTTTATTCAATAATACTTACATCAGTTTAATTAGAACTCCTGGATAGCTTAGTGGTTTAGATGTTTGGCTGTGGAGCCAGAAACTGGGAATTTGATTCCCTTTGCTTCCTTGACATGTACTAGACTCAATGATCCAAAAGGTCCCTTCCAGCTCTGTAGTTTTAAGATTAATATTATAGTTGACTGTATCTGTCCTTCCTTAAATGGCTTAACCCTACTTTTGTATAAGAGTTTAGAGCTGGCCAACATACTAGACCACATCGTTTTCCTGTAGTTAATATTGGATTTGTTTATTTGTGAAAATTGAGATTGAATTGAGCATTTATTTCATTTTTCATTTATCAAAGTTGAATAACTTTTTGCAAGTATTGACACCTTTTTTAACCTTGGACATGCTCTTCAGTATCTTAACGATTTTCTCTGAGTGGGAAAAAAAAGCAGGATGTTTGCTTAGGGCCTGTTTAGAGCAGTTGAATGGTTTTAGATTTATAACTAGCTGATTAAAGAAGTTATTTACGTTGATTACTGTGGATTTGCTTCAGGACCTTTGTATGATTTTTATAGTTTACAAGTGGGGAACTTGGACTAACTGGAGAGTGCTTCTAGAAAAGTATAAGTTACCTTTTCTAGACCAGTTAATGTCGCTACATTCTCAGCAAGTTTTTAATATGAATATTTGATGTTGTATATGTCTCACTTAAAAAGTTAATTGATAGCAAGTACGCTTCTGTAAGTATTAACAATAAGGATGATTGCTGTAAACAGGATCCCAGCTCTTATGCGCACAATATCCATTTCCAGTTGGAAATTCTATTTTAATTGCATCTGTGGGTCTATCTTTATTTCTGACTTAACAGCAGTTAATGCCCTACATTGGAAGGCATCAAAGTTAAAAAAATTCAGCATACATTCTGCAAAGATACAATGTGCTCAATTATTTGTGGAATGGAAAAATAATGTTGTCTCTTATTTCTGCAAAAAATGCCAATGAAGCTTATCTAATAATTTTGCTTTCTTTATAGGTAATATTCAAGGAGCTACAATTGTTGATGCTTTGGATACTCTGTATATTATGGAAATGAAAGAAGAATTCAAAGAAGCAACAGAATGGGTGGAGAAAAATCTAGATTTCAATGTGGTATGTATTTCTCTTTACTGCTGTTTTCATAGAGGCAAAACAGTATTGCAGTATCAGTGTTCATGTATCAAGTTTCTAGGCTGTTTTCTGAAGAGGAACCAGCAGGTTTCATTCCAAAGAATTAAGTAATCCTCCCATTTTTTGTCTGATTTCCCCCCTTCTTAATATGAGATGAAACAGTAAATTTTAAAACCCTAACTAGGTAATATAATTAGAAATGGGCTTCTAGCAAACAATTTTGATTGTGTATATGTTTAGAATGCTGTGTCCTTTCCATATATAGGTGATTATCTGTGGAGGGACATGTCTATTTTGGACTGTCTTTTAAAAACATGTTTGCAGACTGTTTTTTTACTGACATCAGTTATGTAAATATTGCTTTTTAAAGGCCCTCAACTTTACCTCTGTCTCAAGAGCAGTGGTACAGAAATGCCAAGTGTAGCATTTTCCTTCCTAATTGGACTATTCTAATGAAAGTCTGTGGCAGTAAAGCTAGGATATAATCCATTAGTGATAGACCAAGACTCTGGCTAGGTTAAGAGGCAATGCTAAAAAACATTAAGATATCCCTATGCCTTTGCATGTATCCATGAAACATTGATATTCCCTTCTCTTGTACTCTATTTTATGTGGTGCTAGTGAAAGATATTAATTGTTACTCTTTTAAAAGTTTGGTCAATTCTGGTTTTAGGGAGAGGTTAATTGGTCTTGAAGAAATAATGAACTAGTTGAAGAAAGTGCAATGTAAGATAATGAGGATAATAATCCTGAAATAATGTAACAAGTGTGATGGCTAAAGTGAAACTGGAGAATTCTGTTCCTCTTCAATGGAAGACTTTTACTGGCTTCTGTGTCTTATTCCTTTCTCCTGGCATTTTCCATGGAGAAGGGAAGAAAACATGAAAGACCTGGATGAGGCCAGTATGAGACCTTGTTTCTTGTTACAGGAGATACTACTCAACTAGTATTAATTTGATTTGCATGTGGGTAGAGAATAACACTGAGTTTATTTTTCAAAAAAACCAACTTTGATATATTATTTCTTGTTTAATCTTTATTTCTTATCATTCATTTCTTTATTTTTAATTCTCTATAAAATCTACCCAAAGAGTTTTTTCTCTCTATTCTAAAGAATTACAATTCCAGAACTCCTTACAGTGTTAATACTTCTCCAGTGGGAGGTTTAGAATTCCTGATAATCCATTTTTGTTTAAAATTCCTCAGTTTATTCTTGTTGATGTTTCTAAGAAGCATCACTACCTCAGTCTTTTTCAGTGTGTAACAATTAAAATAGCAGGAAATCCTTTTGACAGAGAATTGCAATTGGCACCACCTCCCTTCACTTATCTGCTTCCTGCATAACTTTTCATGGAAATATAAATCTTTCTGCCAAAAGATTATTTACCGCATATCACTTAGCTAGAATTTGTAATCATCTGACCAATGTTCAGAAGTCTTTTTGTTCTAAACAAGGTTGTCTTGTAGATGTCTACTCAAAAATTAAGGTTCAGTGTGAGATTTAATCTTGAGTAAGAATGTATCAATTTGTAGCCAGAATATAACTTTATTTACTTAATGTGATACATATCCAATCAACTATGCTTTAGTTTTAATCCAGAAAGTAAAAAACAAATCAGGTCTTTTGTTCTGAATATAATGAAATTAAAGCATAGCCACATTATTAGCCACATTATAATCTCATGAAGAGTCGGACACAACAAAATGACGACGAATCAAGGACTTAGTCATTAATACTGTATAGGTTTTACCAGAGGACCCAGTGGAGCGAAGAAGAAGAAGAAGACGAGTACAAGAATGAAAAAGAAAATTCCCCATGGATTTGTACTGAGACTACTAATATTTATTGAACAAACTGAAGGCATGGAATAAATGATGTAGAAAAGCTGTAGGAAAATACTGCTTGAAGTTAGGAGATCTCAGATGGACTGTATAGCAAGCCTGAAGCAATATTAGGACAGATACAATTTATCACGGGATCCTGAATCCTTATATCATATATTTAATAAGAGTTTTTAAATTGGCTTACTCCTAGAAAATACTTTCAATGTGCCAAGAAAGACATGTTCCTTTCTTTGTAATAGTAAATTTCTTCTAAACTATGTTGTTATTGCTATATCCTATCAAGTTGTCTCCAACTTATAGCAACCTTGTGACTGAGTGATCTCCAAAATGTCCTATCTCATGGTGTGCCAAAAGTAGGATAGCCTCAGTTATAATATTTTTGCCTCAGATATTGTTCAGGCTCGATTTGATCTAGAACCCAAATTGTTCATTTTTCTGGCAGTTCAAGGTATCTGCAAAGCTGTTCTCTAGCCCCACATTTCAAACGAACCAATTTTCTTCCTGTCAGCTTTCTTAATTACCCAGCTTTCACACCCATACATGGTTATTATAAATTATAAAGGGGGTTAAAAAATAAATAGGTAAGTATCATAATATTGTATTGCTATATCTATGGTCCTGTGCAGCCATTTTCAACCTTTTTTTGGCCATGGCCATAAACATAATATGAATGAAATATAGGCTGAATCAGGAATGTATAAGTGGCATAACAAACCTTATAAGGTGGTGTGTGAAAAATTCTTTCCAGTCTGTGGCCCGCTTCAAATGTGCCAGGACCCCCCAGGGAGCCATATGACCCCCTTTGAGAATGGCTTGTCCAGTGTACCAGTGGCTGAGTTTGACACATATATAAAGGCAGCTAAAATAATTAAAATCTAGATAAATTAGAGGTATAATGCATATTTATTTTGGGGTATGTGTATGTTGCCTAGCTTGTATTTTTGAAGGGGAAAGTAGTCCTCATTGTCTACTAATAGACAATCTACGTTCTTGTTTCACAAGTAGAACAAATCTGATGACTCCAGTTGCAGATAGTTCAATAACGTTGTTGATATGTTGGATCTTTGTTCAGTTTGCACATGTTGGAAGCTCCTTTTCACTGAAGTTACTTTGTCAGCATGCTGTAACAACTGGGTTAATCATGGTAGTCTGTGTGAGTTCCTGGGGACATGCAGGGCAACTCTTGCCCTGACTGTATACTCTCAAAAATATCTGCTTGGTCAGAATGATCAGGGGTTCCCAACCGTGATTCTCCTCATGATGTTGGTCTGAAAGTCCCAGAAACCCAGACTACTGACCTTATTGCTTGGAGTTTGAGTCTAGCCACAGTAGGGCAGCCAAGAGTAGTCTATGCTATCTTCTAATTCAGCAGAATTCTTCCTCTTGTAATTTGAATTGCAGAAGGACTAGGCACATTACACATCAGGTGTCACTTTTTATCAGTGAAGGCTTATGATTGCATATTTGAGAGGTTTTATTTTACTCAATCAGAAATTAATCTGAATGGCAGTCAGTTGGACATAATGGCATGAATAATTGGGGGCTCTTTCTGTTCCTGTTAGATGAACACCAGGTTATATTTAGGAATAGATAAGTTGTGAAATGTTAGCTTTAAGGCAAGATGGAGATCAGGAGTTTTGGGGTCAGCTGGTTTAAAACTTCCTCTCTTGCCATTGTTACCAAGTGGGGAGGTGCTCAGCTATAGCCTACCTATATTTGCAACATTATTCTTTGTTTGTTACATTTATATGTTCCAGTGAACTCAAGATGACATAAATTTCTCCCAACTTGTTGTGTACAACAGGCTTGTCAGGATAAAAAGGGAGTGACTGGCCCAGGCATTCCACTGAATTCCATGTCTCAGGGAGGACTTGAATCTATCTCCAGTATCTTTCTCCAGTGCTCACCCATTCCACAAAGATTCTAAGAAGCTATAGCAGGGCAGAAGTGCAGAACTTTAATTATGTGACGAGAGCCTAGAGTATCTGCTATTTACGAATGTATGCATTTTAAGCAAATGATTCACATTTTGATATATCTGAATTTACCATCTGTGTATAAAACAGTGTTGTAGTTGTTAGGGGGGTGGGGTTTGACACAATTCAATATTAGTCATTGACATTATTTGCAAAGAACAGATGAGCCTTTAGGCCTCTAGAACTTCTAGATTATCTAGGCAGCATTCACTGGTGGCATTCTACATTCAACAGCAATGTCTGTTGGAACCAAGGCAATCCCTGTACTATACTGAACCCACTTGTTCATCTTTCTGGCAGTTCAAGGTATCTGCATGTCTTTTGGTGCTGGCTTCTGAAAGCCAGCAAAATGTTGTATTGCTGAAAGCCAGCAAAATGTGGTATAAATTGCCCCAAGTTGAGAAAACATCATAGGTACAGTGGTGCCTCGACTTACGAACGTCCCTAATTACGACCATTTCAAGTTACAACCAGCTCCAGCCACAAAATTTTGCTTCTACTTGCGACCGGAGCTTCCACTTACAAACAGAAAAAGAGAAGGGGAAAAGGTGGGCAATTCAAATTTCTAACTGTAGGTGACAATGAGGCTGCATCTTTGTAGCTCTTTTGCCCCAGCAGTTAGAGAGCATGCATTGTCATCGGAGGCTTGGGACTGCCTCCTTCTGCTTCTGAGAGCGTGTGTTTGCAGGGAGGCTTTGGACTGCCTTGTAAGGTGTTGTTTCTGCTTTTTAAAAACTGTTCTGGGTGTTTTCGCAGCATGATTTTGAGCTTAGGGTTATATTTCTGTTCTGCGATGGGTCTTGGGGGGTTTGTTTATTTGTTGGCTTCCCCCCCCCATTTCCAATGGGTCTTGGGGGGTTGGTTGCTTTTGGAGGTTTTTTTCCCCATTTCCGGTTGGTCCTGCATCTTTCCCTTGCTTTTTCCTTTGTTTTCTTTGCATTTCCAGCCTGCCCCCTTTGTTCTCTGTGCATTTCCAATCTTCTCTGTTTATTTTCTGTGCACTTCCAATGGGTCTTGCATGCTTTTCTCCCACCCCACCCCCCGGCCAGAAGGGATTAATTGAGTTTCCAATGAGTCTTGCAGTGATTTTTTTGTGTGTGATTTTTTTTCTTTGGCCGGAACTGATTAATTGCATTTCAGTGCATTCCTATGGAAAATTGTGCTTCAAATTATGACCATTTCGAGTTATGTCCATCTTCTGGAATGGATTATGATTGTAAGTGGAGGCACCACTGTATTGTCCAGTGTGCAAATGATAAATGTATGTGGTGATTCCATAACTTGAGGCAATTTGTTTCAAACAGTTACATCATTTGTGCTATGCCACTGTAACTAGATAAGGTTGGTGCAGCAGAAAACATTATTTGTGTCAAATAGAATTTGGAGTAGCTAGATATTCTGAAATATTTCAGGATTTGCTTGAGAAACAGAAATTAAAAGATGTCAGAGCCATTTAATTAAGTGTGTGCTATTCAAAAGCACTTTTAAACCCCCTTTTTAATCCTTTGATTCAGAAATTGGTATTAAAATACATACATATATACAGTAGAACCTCTACTTACGAACTTAATCCGTCCCATAAGATATTTGTTAGTTGAAATGTTCATAAGTAGAAGCTCCATTTCCCATAGGAATGCACTGAAAACCAATTAATCTGTTCCAGCCGAATGAAAAAAGAAGAAGAAAAAGGAAAATAAAATAAACAGCAAGTCCCATGCTGGGACTGCAAAAAAAAAAAAAAAAAAATGGGAGAAACACCCCCGCGGGCACAAAAAAAAAAAAAAAAAAATGGGAGAAACACCCCCGCGGGCACAAAAAAAAAAAAAAAAAAACCCACCAAAAAACAAAACAGCACAGAAACATAAGCCCCCAGCCCAAGCCTACCCTCCAAAACCCACCCAGAACCACTTTTCAAAAAAAGGAGCACCTTACCCGTCTGAAGCCTCCCGGGGGCCCCCTGTCGTTGCGATTGATGCCATTGGAGACCTCCCAGGGGTCCCCCACCACCATGATTGCCGCCTTCAGAGACCTCCTGAGGGTCTCCCACTGCCGCGATCGCCACCTTCGGAAACTTCCCCAGTCTACCCCAGGAAAGCCTGTGTCAGGTTGGGGAAGCCCTGGGAGGCCTCAGAAGATGGCGATCGCAGTGGCGGGAAACCCCTGGGAGGTTTCCAATGGCAGTGATCGCGGTGGCAGGGGGGCCCCAGGAGGCCTCCAAAGGTGGTGATCACAATGGCAGGGGACCCCAGGAGGTCTCCGATGGCGGCAATCACGGTGGCGGGGGACCCCCGGGAGGCCTCCAAAGGTGGCAATTTAGGTGGTATAAACAATAGGTATACTTTATTCTGTGTTAACCAGGCTTCATTTGCTGAACTGGCCTTATTTTAGGTGCCACATTCTAGAAAGGGCATGTTTGATTTTAAGAGATAAGCCAGTGGGATAGTAAGGGGTTTGGAAATCGTGTACTGCTTTGCACAGTTGACAAGGCAGGATCAGTTTAGTCTGGAGAATATTATTTAGAGATAATGGCAATGATCTTCAGAGCTCCAAAAGGCTGCCATGGATTGCTATGAAAAGCTTTGTAATTAGTGCAGTTTACCAAAACTTGATTACTTTTTTTTAATCTTGAATTTTATACACAATAAAATGTGTGTGTTGTTTTTAGAAGTCCTTGGATAGCATAGCCCTCTGCAGGCTAGTTTGCAGTGAATGGCACATTTTCAGTTGTTCAGTCCAAGTTTGTAATAATTCTTATAACAATGAAACTTAATATTTTATTGGGCTTAAGTTTCTGCAAGATAGACATACTAAAATGGCATTGTGATATTTTGTTAGCACCTTTATAAATTAACTTGAATCTTAAATATCATTCTATTCCTAGAATGCAGAAGTTTCCGTTTTTGAAGTGAACATCCGTTTTGTTGGTGGGCTACTTTCAGCATACTACCTTTCTGGTAAAGAGGTAAGATTATATGCAGCTATGAAGTAATTAACAGAGTTGCTGGTTAAAGTCTAGATCAGTGGTTCTTAACGTGGGCGATAATGACCCCCAGGGGGCGATTTCATTTTTTAAGGGGGCGGTAGAACGAAAAGGGGCGGCGTGGGGGCGCTGGAGCAGAAGGGGGCGGTAGGGGAGGCTCGAGCAAGCCAAACCTGTGAAGATGGCTGCAGCCTTTTTACAATGTCCTCCAATCTTAATTTAGTTTCAGAGTTCTCGTCTTGAAATTTTTAGTTCCTGCATTGCGGTTTGTTTTTATGCCCTTTTTATATTTCTTTTTGAGTCTTAAAATTCGCTTGCAACTAAATCATTAAATGTTACTTTTTGGGGGCATTTCATTTTCTTGAAATTGAATTTTGTTTTCAGGGGTCATTGGATTTAAGTGTCATAAATAAATAAATAAGATATCACCGCGGGGAGGAGGCGATGATAACTTCCTCAATGGCTCAAGGGGGCGTTTCTTTCAAAACGGTTAAGAACCACTGGTCTAGATTTCTGTGAATATGATTGGAAAATAATCAGTAAAATGACAGTCTTTCTGGAAGAAACTTGGTGTTAGGAGGCATTAGGTGTATACTTTTGGGGAAAGATTATCATCCTGTCTATAACTCTGTTGCTGGGAAAAGAAACCTATATTGATGATCTGTGTAATTTTCTGGATCTCTATGGCTTGGGAAGGCTTAAACAAAAATCTGAAATCCATCATTTAAGAAGAAGCATAGTATCTTATGTAAACTCTTCATCAAAGGGTAGCACAAGAAGACTCACAGGATATAAAATAGAATTTGTCCATATGCTGCCCATTCAGAACAAGCATGCAATATGGATATCCAAGTTGAGCTGACATTTGCTAGAAATCCAGAACATGCTAACTTTTGATGTGCTGAGCTTATGAGGAAAAACAGTGTTCCTGATAAAGAACAGGCCACATTTTTTTTTTTGTGCTTTGGAACCTGATTTCAGATATTGTGTAAGGCTGTCAATTTGTTACATTCTGTGACTCGTATTATTAAAAGGATTTAAAAAATATTTAGTATTCAAAACTTCTTTTTTTTAAGCAAATCTCACCATATTTTAGTGGGACACCTGGCAAATGTTTATAACAAACCTGGACACATTCCTCAGGATTTGTGTTAAATCTGCATATTTTATCCAAGTTGATGGAAGGGATTAGGAGAGAGCATTTTCATTCTTTTGGCATGCTCCCAAACTCTTAATCGTGGTTAAAAGCCTGCATGTCATCTGCAACAGTTGCAAAAGATGTAACATTTCTGTGATATGGTATATTTCTACCATTGCAAAAATTGACTACAAGGTATAGGAGAGCCATAACATAGACATACTCTTAAGTTTTTCAGACTCATAATAGTGCTGTTTGTTTGTTTATTAAATATTTTTACCCCACCTTTCTCCTTGAAAAGGACCCAAGGCGCTTAGAAATTGAAAGACAATATTTGAAGATGGAAACAATGATAGTTAATATCATTGAAAGATAATATTTAAAGCTAAGAACAATGAGTAAAGAGGCATCTTACATCATTAAAAGAAAATATTAGAGTTAAGAAAAGTAACTATACAAATACAGTGGGGTCTTGACTTGAGAACTTAATCCATATTGGAAGGCGGTTCTCAAGTCAAAAAGTTCTCAAGTGAAATCTGCATTTCCCATAGGAATGCATTGAAAACCATTTGATCCGTAGCTGCTCTTTTCCGTCCATAGAAACTAATGGGAAGCTGCTATTCTGCCTTCGACCACTAGAGGGGGATATTTTGTTTCTTTTTTTTCTTAGGTCAAGAAAGGTTCAGGGAAGGCAAGGAAAATACAGTCCAGGAAGGATAGTACCAGGCAGTCCGAAGACTGTCTCCCAATCCTCTCTCTAAACGCTGGGAGGAGTGAGGAAGCAGACAGGCACCCTTTTCACTGGCCAACAGTTAACTGAACGTTCACATTTTGCACTTTCCCTGCGTCCCACGTGGGTTTTTTCAGTTTGTAACTCAAATCTAAGTACTTAAGTCAAGTCAATATTTTCCTATGAGAGCGGTTCTTAAGTCAAAATGTTCTTAACTCGAGCCGTTCTTAAGTCAAGACCCCACTGTAAGTTAAGAAAAATGAGTATACAAATAAAAAAAATGCCAGTCTGAGAAATGGAAGATAAAAATATGGAAAACACAAGTAGTACTAAAAATCCTGAAACAGCAATGCATAACAATCTATCTTCTCTCTCTCTCTCTCTCTCTCTCTCACGCACAGACACGCCCGCACGCACGCACACGCCCGCGCGCACACACACAGCTACTAACTGTGGAATGGCCTGTCTGAAGAGAAAGGTCTTTGTGTGCTTTCAGAAGAACAGCAAAGATGAGACCAGTCTAGCCTCCAATTAGAGGGTGTTCCAAAATCTTGGAGCAGCTCTATCCTGTGTCCCCATCAGATTCACCTGTGAAAGTGGTGGGACTGAGAGAAAGGCCTCTCCTGATTATCTTAATACCTGAGCCAGTTCATAATGGGAAACATGGTATTTGACATAGCTGGGACCCAGGCTACTTATAGCTTTATAGGTTAAAACCAGCACTTTGAATTGTGCCTCAAAGCTGATTGGGAACCAGTGGAGCTGTTGTAACAGGGAGGGTTAAGTGATCCCTGTAACCAGCCCCAGTCAGCAATCTGGCTGCTGCATTTTGGACCCACTGAAGTTTCTTGACACTTTCAATCAGCAGCCCCACATAGACTGTGTTACAGTAATCCAGCTGGGAAGTAACTAGGGCACGTGTCACAGTGGCCAGACCAGATTTCTCAACAAACAGACATAGCTGGTGCACTAGTTTTAGCTGTGCAAGTGCAGTCTTGGCCACCACCAAGACCTGGGCATCCAGACTCAGAGATTAATCCAGCAGCACCTCCAAGCTGTGCGCTTGTTTTTTCAATGGGAGTGCAACCTCATCCAGTAGTGACTGCATCCCTATTCATTGATCTGCCTTTTGTCTGACCAGAAGCACCTCTGCCTTGTCTGGATTAAGCTTCAGTGTATTCACCCTCATCCAGCCCATTGCTGATACCACACTCTGATCTAGAGCTGAAGCAGGTTTCTCGGATTTAGGTAGCAAAGAGAGGTAGAGTTGGGTGTCACCAAACCCCAGAGCTCCAAATAATCTCTGAGCAGTTTCATGGACATGTTAAATAAGACAGGAGACAAAACAGAACCCTGAGGGACCCCACAGGTCAGTGTCCAGGGTATCAAACATGAATCCTCCGAGCACCACCTTCTGGGTTCTCTCCTCCAGGAAGGGAGAAGAGAATGGTTGTTGTGGTTTTTTCAGGCTCTTTGGCCATGTTCTGAAGGTTGTTCTTCCTAACGTTTCGCCAGTCTCTGTGGCCGACATCTTCAGAGGACAGCAGAGATAGGAGTCTTGAAATAAAACTCAGTTGGTCCATGTGCTTTTTCCCCAAGACCTCTTCTGGAATCATTTCACTTTCTGAGGCACAAGAACAGGCACTAGGCTGTAAATTGTTAAGTGAGATAACTGTCAGCACATTCAGTATATTGGAGGGCGGGATTATCAGAGAAGCCTCAGAAGGCTTCTAGAGGATGTAAGGGAGATTCAAGCTCTACTTGCAAGTTATTCAACTCAGAACTATAAATATAGTTAAGTGGGACTGCCTAGCCCCATATCCTCTGTCTTCTATCTTTGTAGTTACAGTGCTTGATGTGAAGATCCCATTTGTGGATGTGGTTTACACATGGGGAAGAAAACAGATTTTCCATATTTATTGCTCACATGGTGAGCCTACACGTTGAGCAGGGGATTGGACCAATGGCCTTATAGGCCTTTTCCAACTTCATTATTCTATGATTCACATCTGGTGCTGTATAACAGTGAAAAATGTAACAAAGGGGCAAGGCTAGGTAATATCCTCTAAGCACATTAGTGCTGGGTTGAACAATGCCAGAATAGGGCTTCAGTGGCTTAATTCAAATGTAATGAAAAGCTGGGCACCATAAAGCTTTTTTAGTGCTATGGGCTTGCTTTATGGGGAGATTCCTTTCCGAGCCCAAAGAAATGGAATAGTACCCTCACCTCTTTGTCATTCCTCATGCTTAGGAGAGCAATTTAACCAGGATTCAGTTTCTACAGTTCATCACTTGTTAAGACAAACTCTAGTCAATTATAAATGCTGACTTGTTTTACAAATAAGTGTTTGTCTTAAACCAGTCGTGAACAAAGTAAAGCACATAGGACAAATATGGTACCAGTCCCTTTTTGCAGCTTCCCTGAATCTCTCAAGAAAACTTAATTTTAAAATCCTGCTATGATAGTCAGTGGCACAATGTGCCACTGAAAATCAGGAGGGCAGTAAGATACCAAAATTTGATGGCAAGGGGCTAAAGCAATGCTTCTCTTAACAAAGTTAGAAACCATCCACAGCCCTTTGCTGATTCCCTAAAATTTAATAAGTACATGTTTATCGAAACAGTAATCATTTTATAAGCTGTCTTTCCCAGCATTTCTTCCTGAAGTAACTCCCTGCAGTGTTCTTTCCCAATTTCCTGAGCTGTCGTCTTTATTTTTTATTCCAGGCATCTATGGTCCTTGGATGTAAAACCTTCCAAGGATCATGGACTGGCATTGCAGCTTCTATGTGGGAATCTGTTTTTCTACCAGTACAATTTAAGGTGGCTTGTTGGATTATTTTTATTTTATTAGGTAAAGGCAAAGGTTTCCCTTGACAATTTGTTCAGTCATGTCTGACTCTAGGGGGTGGTGCTCATCCCCATTTCCAAGTCATAGAGCTAGCAAGAGTTTCCATGGTCACGTGGCCAGTGCAACTAGACACGGAACGCTGTTACCTTCCCACCATGGTGGTACCTATTTATCTACTAGCAGTTTTACATGCTTTCGAACTGCTAGGTTGGCAGGAGTTGGGACAAGGGATGGGAGTTCACTCCATTATGTGGATTCCATCTTACGACTACTGGTCTTCCGACCTTGCGGCACAGAGGCTTCTGTGGTTTAACCCGCAGTGCCACCACATCCTTTTATTTTATTAAATCATACTAATAAATTAAATTTGAATACAGTGAATCTTTACTTTAATCTCTGTTTGGGTGGCTAAATGATCCAGTGTAATGAATTAGTTATATATTTTTAATATTAATTAACTCTGAATGGGATTTGAACTAATTTGAAATTTGTGTAGTGAGGTGTGCTCAGTATATTAGCTTCCAGCTCCATCCATCTTTAACCAAAGTCTGAATTGGAAGAATTTTTCTAAACAAAATATGGTCTTGGAGGAAAAATTGCCCTGTGCCTTGCGTGTTTATAAAACTGCTGAACTAAAGACAAGGGAATATGGTGGGCAAGGAAGACTAGAAAATGAATGTATACATAATCCTGCTTGAAATGCTTTTACAGGCTGGTAGGTGTAAGTAGTGTAGAGAGTAAACAGAAGGGAATGATATTGCTTACCTGTGCCAGATACAGTAATAATAGATGGCTTTAATAAAATATATACTCAGCAGTTGAGATCATTGAAAGGAGTAGTAATGAGTGGCATCTCTATTTCTTATGTGGAAGCTTGCCATTTGTATTCCAAATATGTGCTCAGTAGTGTTTCTTCATCACCACTATCTATAATAAGTACATGAATGGTCAGTTAAAGGTATCACACAAGTATTGAATACTTCACAGAACTTTTTGAAAGAGAGAATTACATTCTTTCTCTCTCTGTATTTTGTATCTATAATAAATTATTATTTATTTATTATTTATTTATTTATTTGATTTGATTTGATTTATACCCCACCTATCTGGACCACCGGACCACTCTAGGCGGCATTTGTTTTGGTTTCTCTGAGATATATACAGTACATGGAAGAAAAGGCTGCTAGTCTTGTTAGCCATATGTTATGTTCATTATCAAAGACAGCTTGCCTTTAAATACCATTTGCTGGGGATTAAGAACAGAATTGTGTTCATGTGTTCATGTCCTGTAGTGGACTGTTCACAGAAATCTCATTGGCCATTTTGTAAACAGAATATTGGACCAGATAAATCTTTAGTCTGATTCTGTATCTGTGATGACTCCAGCATTATCTGTATACCACCACTATCATGTTGTCATCCAATCAGAACTATATTTCATTAGAATCACTTAAATAAGTTGGTGATTGGACTTGTCTAAAAGTAATTTTGCTAAAAAAAATCATATCTTCAAATGTTTCTGATAAAAAGAAGTTAGCTAATTTCTATGTCTCACACAGAACAAGAATAGAAAAATAAATTCAATTAACATTTAACACTTACTTGCAAACATGAAGGTTTGCTTCAAAGGTACATCAGTTCAAACACTGATTTTCAGTGTTAGTGACATATCTTATCAGCTTATTTAAACTGAAAAAAATCCAACTTTGATTATACTGTGTCAGCATCTTTGGTTCAGTCAGAATAAAAAGTTTTGTACTATGTCACGAATGGGCCTGAAATCTGCTAATACGCATTAGTACTGTTTCTGAGTGCGGAACAATTGCAATCCACCAAATTCTGAAGCAGATCCAAATTTTCAACCAGTAACACAAATGTTTCTCAGTTTAGATGCAGAGTTGCACTTAACCTCTTTAGTGGCATTTTAAAAAAATAACAAAGTAGAAAAGAAATAACTTGAATCATGGTTCTTACACACACACAGCTGTATTTAAATATGTGAGTTTCCCCTGGAAGAAGTTGCCTCTCAATAGTATGACAAAAAGGTTAAATGGAGTGGAGAGTAATTCTGTTATTTGCTCAGCTTCAGTATTTTTAGCACACACAAAAATTGAACATTTCTTTAAACTTCAAACTTTCCCAAGTTGGAATAAAAAGAAATATTTGTGTGTTCTATGATTTAAATTATTCTGTTCCCTTCTGCCTACTTAAATGCTAATGGCTTCATATTCCTGTCTAGTATGCTGTTTATCAATCTCCTTTCATATTGAAGAGTTGTGCAATAGAAGTACAAAGGTTGGTGCGAGAGGTTCCTCAGGCTGAGTTGTTTTACACACCTAATGCTATTTTACTATCAGTATTGAAGGTTTTGCCCACAAGAAGTTGTAGCAACATGGTAAATTTTAGCACTGTCATTTATCTGGTGAGTGCCTTTGAAAAGCTGTCAACTGAAGCTTGTGAAAAATAATTTAGAATTGCTGGTGGTAAAATGTGGAGCTGTACATAATGATGATAAGATATGTGTTCTATTGTTAATGTTAATTCCTAACAGCTACTGTGAGGAGGGGTATTAGAGCTAAAGGACTCAGGAATATTTCAACCCTCTCTCAGAATACAGTGGTGCCTCGATTTACGACAATAATCCATTCCAGAAGATGGCCGTAACTCGAAATGGTCAAAAGTCAAAGCACCATTTCCCATAGGAATGCATTCAAACGTGATTAATCCGTTCCAGACAAAAAAATAATCACCAAAAAAACCACTCCAAGCCCCATCGGAACGCCATGGGGACCACTCCAAGCCCCCTCGGAACGCCGTGGGGCTGGGGAAAAAATCAAAAACACACACTCCATAGCCAGCTCCATCGGAATGCAGTGGGGCTGGGGAAAACACGCACACACACCAGAGCCAGCTCCATTGGAACAGCCATAGCCAGCTCCGTCGGAATGCAATGGGGCTGGGGAAAAACACACACCAGAGCCAGCTCCATTGGAACACGATGGGGCTAGGGGGAAAAAATCAAACACCCTCCCCCACACAGCCAGCCCCATCAGAATGCCATGGGGCTGGGGGGGGAATCAAAAACACACCCACCCACAGCCAGCTCCATAGGAACGCGATGGGGCTGCAGAAAAACACACACCAAAAAACAAAAACCCATCACAGCACAGAAACAACCCCTCCAAACCCAAACTCACCCTGCAAGGCCCTGTAAATGTACTCACCCAGAAGCAGAAAGTAGCACCAGGCAGTCTGAAGCCTCTTTGCAAACCCACACGCACTAACTGTTGGGGCGAAAGAGCTACAAAGAAGCTCTTCGCCAATCAACGATTAGCCCTCTAATTTGAATTCGCTGCCTTTTCCCCTGCCTCTTTTGTTTGCAACTCGAAGCTCCGGCCGCAACTCAAAGCAAAATTTTGCAGCCAGAGCTAGCCGCAACTCAAAATGGTCGTATGTCGGGACATTTGTAAGTCGAGGCACCACTGTATACAGTTTTCATTTTCAGAATCTTACTAGTGTTTTGCTAGTGTTGCACCTAGTATGTACAAAGATAGTTTTTCATGGCAGTTGGAAAACCTGAAATCATCTAACTATGAGAAGGCAAACTTTAAAAATGTCAAGAGGGAATTGATACAGGGAAGGAAAACAATGGCTATGTGAGTTTATGACACATTCTGAACTCTGTATTACGACTTACTGATAGAAATTCTCTATTAAGATTGTTTTATAATTCCTTACTTGGAAACTTAGTTTTTCTTATCAGGCAAAACCAAAATATTTTTTTTAAAAAAAAGAAGACAAAAATATTGTGCCACCTTAATATGCTATATTTTAATGTGAGCTTTCTTGGACAAGTCCACTTTCTCAGATGTATGAATGGCAGATATTTATACACAGCCTGAAATCAGATATTGTATTTTGGCACAAGTTGTTGACTTGACAGTGACCTTTAAAACATCTGTTGATATCATTTCCCCTCCCAGGAAGCACTGTTCTGTAAACAGTGACAATGATTGTTGGCTAAATTAATCCCAGGCTACAAATAATGAGCAGAAGCAATGGGGCAATGAGTTTCTCTAATCACCAGTGGGGCTTCTCAGATGGGACTGGTAGATATTAAGGATATAGCATAGGAACCAATGGATAGTTCATTGGCATAAGTTGCATAGCGGGGAATTTCAGCAGATACAACTATAGTATTTTAGATTTTATAATGATCTAAGAAACTTTGGCTTATATTGAGTTCTTTGAGTCCGTATACACACGTGTGTATATATTTTGTCTCAGCTGTATCTCTGTGGATTCTGGTCCTGTATTTTTTTTCCAAATTGGCAACTTTCAGGTCTTGTCAGAGTGTTGACATAAATGAAAATGATTTGAAACTAATTTCTGTGTATTGTCATTCCTGATGTCCAAATTGTGTCCATCAGTTCTTTTGCACAGAGACTGTCCTGTTTGTCCTATGTAGAGTGCAGAATGCCATTGTTGACATAAAAATATAGTCTTTAAGGTGCTACAATGTTTTTGTTTTCTTTATTTTTTCATTTTTCTTTTGTTTTTGCCTGATATTCTAGCAAAGACTAATAAATACAGCTACTTATTCTAAAACTACAGCTATAGAAGGCATTCGTTTTTCTTTACTGCTATATCACATGACCTTTTTTAAAATTTTGCAGGTATTTCGAAAGAAAGCAGTGGAGCTAGGAGAGAAGTTGCTTCCAGCTTTTAACACTCCCACCGGAATTCCTTGGGCATTATTAAATATCAAAAGGTAAAGATTACCAGTTGTTAAGGAAATAGCTTTGTTTATTCAGCTTAACATGTAAAGGATGAGCATGCAGACAGACGTTGCTCTATCATCAAATTAGGTTCTTGGCTTTGGAGAATTTTAATCAGCACTGATGTTGTTCCGCTTCCCTTGTATGTTTATTGCAGTTAGCTGATATTCTGCCAAATGAAACAACCTGGTAGTTTAACACTTCCAAAATATGCTCTAAATACCTAAAAAATTGTAGAAAATTGTAGGAGTACAGTGGTACCTTGACTTACGAACTTAATCCGTATTGGAACAGTGTCCGTAACTCAACGTTCATAAGTCAAAGCACCATTTTCCATAGGAATGCATTGAAAACCAATTAATCCGTTCCAGCTGAAGAAAAAATATCCCAATTTTTTTTAAAAAAAAAACTGCAAGTCTCATAGGAACGTGCTGGGGCTGCAAAAAACAAAACCCAGGGTAGAAAGGGAGCCTCAAAGGCTGGCCGAAGTGAACGGGGCCAGGGCCAGAGACTTGGCCAGGAAGCGCTCGCCTGCCTGCCCGCCCGCCCGCCTCCTCCTGCTCCTCCGGAGCTTCCCTCACTCCAGTAAGCAGCCACGGCATCACCCCCCTGCTGCCCAGAGGAACCCCCCCAAAATATATATATATATAAAAAGAGCACAACAAGCCCAGTCAGAAGGTGCTCTGTTGCTGAGGCTTTAAGAAAAAACCTCAAAAAGCAGACACTAGAGCCACCTCCATTGCTGAGGTTTAAGAAGGAAAAAACCCTCCAAACACACACACACACACACGCTCGCTCTGAAGGCGAACACAGAAACAAACCCTCCCTTCAGGCACACACACACACTCACTCCGAAGCAGAGCCACCAAAACCCACCCAGAAAAAAACAGCAGGTTATCTCCCTGCAAACACACACATGCTCACTCCGAAACAGGAGGCTCTCCCAAGCCTCCAACTGCAACACACCCTGTAACTGCCGAAAGAGCTACAGCACAAAGAAGCAGCCGCGGCGCCACCTACAGTTAGAACATTGAATTGCCCGCCTTTTTTCCCTACCTGTTTCTGTTCGTAAGTGGAAGCTCCGTTCGCAAGTCGAAGCAAAAAGTTGCAACTGGAGCTGTTTGCAAATCAAAATGTTCGTAAGTAGAGATGTTTGTAAGTCAAGGTACCACTGTATTCTGCGTTAAGAATTAATTTCTGATTCACACTCATGACCATACTGTATATTGATCTGGGTCTGGTTCCTGTTACTTAGCAATTAGTTTTCTGTTTTGTTTCATTGACAATTAATAGTGGATGAATTCATTTGTTAACTTTAGCCATACTTGCTGGAGAAGGTCCAGCATTTGGAGGACCACATTGGGGAAGTATGAGCTAAGACTCTTAAATCTCAGACACACATTATGCAAATCTCCACTAGAAAAAAGCTGCTTGTCTGTGCACAGAGGTAAAACAATGTTTTATTTTTTTAAATCATAGTTTAAAACCCATTTGGACAGATTTCTCCAAATTTGGTAGAGATCAACAGCAGACTTTCTCCTTGCTGTATCTGTGCCGAATTTGGTAATGATGTGAGATCCCATTTCATAGTTACAGTTCTTTGTTAGGGGCACCCATCTCTTTTGGTGTTGCTTGTAGAATGCTTTTTGTTGTGCTTACGCAAAATATATGGTGTGAATACCATAGCTACAAAGACCCTAAAATAGATCTTAAAATAGAAATTGACCAGACTGATCCATAGCAGGAAACCAAAATCCAGGATCCAGAGGTGGACAAAGCTTTATTAAAATAAAGTATATGTTCATAGAGTATGTAAGGTCTCTAAACCCTTCATTGTGGTATCTGCTAAAAGATTTTGAAGTCTCACAACTTAACTAAATGTTCTTGACCTTGGAGATCTGTAAATTAAATTCACCCAAAAGAATGGAGAGTAAAGAGTCATGCATTTCCCTAATGACCTCTTGCAGAAGAGGCTGTGAAGATGACAATATGAAAATTTCCTTCTCTGCAAACACAGAAACTGTCTATACAATTTATGTTGTGTAAGACTAAATGCTGGTACGTGGGATTTTGATTGTTCTTAAAGCAAGTGCAGATGCTGGCTTCGCTAAATCAAAAAACACAGAGGATGTTTTGGGCCCATGCTTGCTTAACTGTTTAGAGGAGGAGAGAGGAAACAGTGAGGATAATGAGCTAGTGTATACTAGGAAAGAGCATAGCAGCTAGGATGCTGAAGAGGAGGATTCTGTTCTATGGTATTTTGTTGCATCTCCCATTTGAATTTGTTCTCTTATCAGCTCAAAAGAATTGTTTAGTTATGAACTATTGCTCTGCATTCTGGAAACATTTCTTTGCAACCCATAGGATTGCAGAAATAATTGAAGTTGTTTGTTAAGATTTAGTTCATGCTTGTTAGATAAATTGTTTTTAAACAAACAAACAAAAACAGGGTGCCCCAGTAGAAGGGAATGATAAACCGCTTCTGAGTGCTCTCTACCTGGAAAACCTGGAGGGGAAAGGTTGCCATAAATCAGAACTGACTTGACAGCACTTTTCTTTTAAAGTTGCATTAAATAATGCTTGAATACCTTATCATAGAATAACGGAGTTGGAGGCCTATAAGGCCATCGAGTTCAACTCCCTGCTCAATGCAAGAATTCAAATTAAAGGATATTTGCCAGCTGGTCGTCTAAATTTCTCTTGAATGCCTCCAGTGTTAGTGCACTCACTACCTCTCGAGGTAATTAGTTCCATTGTCATAGTACTCTATTTCCATCTGACTGATGTTCTGGTAAGACGACAGTGACAATGAAGGGAGCCTCGTGTCGCAGTGGTTAAAACACTGTACTGCAGCTAAAACTGTGCTCACGACCTGGGGTTCAAATCCCAGGTAGCCGGCTCAAGGTTGACTCAGCCTTCTATCCTTCCGAGGTCGGTAAAATGAGTACCCAGCTTGCTGGGGGGGGCAATGTGTAGCCTGTATAATTAAATTGTAAACCGCCCAGAGAGTGCTTGTAGCACTATGGGGCGGTATATAAGTCGGAAAAAAAAATGAAAACAGAGCCAGAATAGACCCTATAGATCATCGAGTCAGCCCCTGTCAAAGAGGCATAGTGGGAAATTGAACTCAGGATAGACCCTATGGATCATCGAGTCAGCCCCGTCAAAGAGGCATAGTGGGAAATTGAACTCCCAACCTCTCACTCCACAATCACACACATAAACCCCTGAGTTATCCAGCAGTGCAAGATGACTATTCAGTTAGGCATGTATCCGTGTTATTAAGAGTGTATAAAAATGTGCACTTCCTTGTTCTTGATGGGGCAAAATACATTATGCCTTTAATTGAGACGTTCCCATATAGAGCCAATTTCAAGTAGAAAATATTTGGACTAATTGCCCCTTCTTGCCCAACAATTATTGTCAGGCTGGATGAGCCTTTTTATGGCTTGAGTTTCTCATGGCTTTTCTATTCTTATTCTGTTGTCACAGGAACTTTGCAAGGATGAAAAATTATGATATGAACCAAAGTTACTGTTTCATATAACATAATTATGAACACTGAGAATGAGAAAGGTAAATTGTGTGACAGAGCATATGACATGGTATAATTACTACCTAATCAGGAATCTCATGCAATAAATCAAGATACTTCTGTCACATGTTACCTGCATGAGGTAAAATCAAGTAGTAGTCTTCTGCAGAATTACTATGATGTATTTGACACAATTAAAAATACCACTGCGTCAAGAGTAATATAATAGAGAGGATAATATACAATGGAAGAATGAGTTGACAGGTATAAATCAATCAAAATCAAAGTCAAAGCTTGAAAGTATAGATAATTCTCTATTCAACCATTAACATTCTTGGATCTTTGACATTAAAGAAAGTTTGTTGGATTGCAGTGAAAAATGCTTTGGGGAATATACATCATTAAGAACATAAAAGTTGCCATATTGGGTCATGAAATGAATTGTAAAATCAATTTGTATTTTAAACTATAATTACAGAATGAAAAATACATTGCCTGGCATTTTGGAGGTGCTCACAGACTTTCTTACTTTGATCAGTTATATCAAGCCATCTGACAGGTTATTTTGCTGCACTAGTGCATTGCTTGTTGTGCTAGCAGCTGCAGATTTTTAGAGTTAGTGCAAGAGTGTTATGTAGTGCAGGCTGCATTGTGCAAAGGCTTCCTCAACTGGTTGTACAAGAATTGTACGAGGGCTTGTGCAATAGCATAATTTATCAGTCCTTTTTAAGTGACTCTGAGATTATAGACATACCATTATCTTCTCCAGTATTTAATCAGGCGTAGAGCGTTACACCACTTATTACCCCTGTCTGTGTATTCAGAAAGAAGGAAAGTTACTCTGGACCAATCCCCTGCCCTGGCAAAGAATACTAGAGGCTCTTTGTCTCCTTACCCATCTTGGACTATAGCCAAAACTGCAATAAAATACATAGTTTGGCACGGGAAAGAAAGAGGCAAACACCTACTTCCACCAAGATCTACCCGTGTCACTCGCGCGAGCCGGGGGGTGAAGCTGAGGAGCCTAACACCGAGGAGGCCCGGAAAAAAAAGACAAGAAATCGGGCCTTCTCGGCAGTGGCTCCTCGCCTCTGGAATAACCTACCCCCTGATATTTGCGCAGCTCCCTCGCTGGGTATTTTAAAAAATCAACTAAAAACACTGATGTTTCGGCAGGCCTTCCCCTCAGTCTATCCCTAACTCCCGATTTTCCTCTCTTTCCTCTTCCTAGTGTCTGTCCCTCCTTGACCTAAGTTTTTTCCCTTATATAAAATTGTTTTTAATTACATTGTTATATTTCTGTTGTAAGCCGCCTAGAGTGGTCTTGACTAGGTAGGCGGGATATTAAATAAATAAATAAATAAAAATGAGAGATTTCATCCAGAAGTAGGCATCAACTTCCCCTAAAGCAGGGTATGATTTGGTAGCACCTATGGAAGTACAAGTAAACCTGCTAAT